ACAGCCAACCAGAGCGTTCCGTCTTTCAGCCTTCATTCTTTTTTGCTCTTTGGGCGTGCCACATGTGCCTGATGGCGTTTATCGTGATGCAGGGTTCTTGTCGTGAGCCAGCGCGCCGAGAAGAGGCTTCAGTCTACTGGCATCATGCATGAGGCTCCCATACAAGTCGTTCAACGGAATAACAGGGGCTGCGAAAGGCTTGTTTCCCAGACGGGTGTATAGAAACGAAGAAAGCCTAATTGTGGATCCTTTTCAAGCTAGAAACGGCCATGAGTAGCCATGAGTCGAGATGCTAGTGCGGTTGAGTGCTTGTTCAGTGGTTCAGCTCCTCTGCAAGGTTGACATCGCCTGCCTTGGCAGGGCTGCGGTAATGCGGGTGGTCGGCACGGGTTTCGTGGTGAGTCGTGGGCGCGAACGTTTGTTCATACTGGTGGTGGTGGTGGCTGCTAATGTTGGTCACTTTCCTTTGAATCCGTGTCCGTAGGTAGTTAGGTAAACCATGTCTGAGGTTGAGTTGCCCGGCTTGAGGCTTGTTCAAGGGTTCAAATGGGGGACATTAGAGATTCCGCGTTGACCGGGGGTGAGAGGGCGGAACGGGTGAGGTTGTGGGACCCGAGGCGTCCGGGCTAGACCGATTCGGGGGACGAGAGTGACGCTCAAGCTGCTAGTGCGCTTCGTGGCGCCTTCAGCTGAACGGGAGGGCGGAGTTTTGCGCAGTTTACATGCCTGTTGCTCGTCTATCTCGTGGCCGTGAATGGGTGCTTCTTCAAGTTCTTCTCCACTAACTGAAATGGGGGAAATAAGGCTCTGGGGAGTTGTCGCGATAGCAAAGACTCGGACTTTGGCGGCCGTTGGGCGTTGGTGATGGTATTGAGCTAACATGTAACCATGCCTGAAAGGATAACTTTAGTTGGACTTGGCCAAGGTTCTGTGTGCCGGCCGGTGATCATTGCCTTGTTGTGAGGGTTTCAGACACCGACACTAATTCGTAAAGGGCGCAGGTTGTCGTATGATGCTTGATATGTCGGACTGACGATGCTACCTAGATAGGCAGAGGCAGAGGCAGCCAGCCTCTTGTACAACAGGTTAGCTTTCTCAACGTTGGTCAATCTTGTCAGCTTCCCAGTGTAGCCGGAACCGGCATGAGAGACGCGGGAATAAGTCTCTGAAGTGCAAAAAATGATTGAATCTTTCGTTGATCATACTTATCCAATGCAAACATACACTGTTGTGCCACCCTCACCCCGCTTCATCAAAACCCGTACATGCTGCATGCGCCGAGAAATACATTGCAAACCCATCCAATACGCCCAACTTTTTCCATATCATCCGCTCGCCAGTCATCGCTTTTTTCTATTTAACTTTGGAGATCCCCCGCCGATCGCTTAGCAGCATCCACCCTGGTTGTTGTTCTCGGCTGCCTTCTTGGGGTCCACCTCGGTGCTGAAGGTTCCATCGACCTTCTCGTTGGGGCCGGCGATGAGAATCTTGATCACTTGACCCTCCTTGACCTTCTTAAAGGCCTCCTCGGCCTGCTTGAACTCGACAATGCCGGAAATAAGCTTCTTGACGTTGACCCTGCCGTTGGCGACGAGGTCAATGGCGAGCTTGTAATCACCAGGGCCGTAGCGGAAGCTGCCGCGAGCAGTAACCTCCTTCAAGCACAGAGCCATGATGGGGAAGTTGATGTCGGACTTGCCCATGCCACCTTGGACGTAGGTGCCGCCCATTCTGACGACGTGCAAGCTGGTCTGGATAGAGGGCTCGGCGCCGCTGGCGTCGATAACACAGTCGGCTCCCGCGCCGAGGTCGCACTGCTTGATGAGGGCCTTGGCGTTCTCTTCGGCGGAGATGCGCTGGGAGAGGTAGGTGTGAGTAGAGGCAAGGTCCTTGGCGAAGTCAAGCTTGGACTGGACAATATCCACGCTGACGACCTTGGTGGCACCGAAAGACCTCGCGACGGCGGCGCAGAGCAGACCGACAGGGCCGGCTCCCATGACTACGACGGAGGCGCCAGGGGTGATCTGGGCCTGCTTGGTGATGTGAACGGCAACAGCCAACGGTTCAATCAGAGCTCCCTCTTGCAGGGAGACATTATCGGGCAGCTTGTAGCAGAAGTCGGAGGGCGCGGTCCAGAAACCGGCAAGGGTGCCGTCGTACGGGGGAGTCGCGGCGAAGCGCATGTCGGGGCAGAGGTTATAGAAACCTGCGAGGCAGTCGCCGCAGCGACGGCAAGGGTAGCCGGGCTCGAGGGCGATGCGGTCGCCAACTACGAGGTTCTTCACGTTCTCGCCGACCTGGATGACGGTGCCGGCGGACTCGTGGCCGAGAACCATGGGGTCCTTGACGACGAAGTGGCCGATAGCGCCATGCTCCCAGTAGTGGACATCGGAGCCGCAGATGCCAGTGTAGTTGACGGCGACGAGGACTTCGTGGGGGTCGGAGAGCTTGGGGATGGGGCGCTCGGCGAACTCGACGTCGTGGGGCTTGTTGAGGATGAAGGAGAGGTTCTACGGTTGTCAGTAAGATGTCGATCGAGTTTCAGGCGCAAATTGGCCTTCGTGATGAAGGGAGACATACGCTTTTGCCCTCAGTGCCGGCCATGATGGATGGATTGCGGGGTTACGTGAAGAGGTAGGATTCGGTAAGGGATTGGGTTTTGGAGTTGGTCGGTGCTCGTTCTACCGAGAGAAGCACAAGATTAACTTTTGGCTGGGCGTTCGTCACAAACTTCACAGGCTCCTAAGCAAAAAGGGTATCGTTGGAGAATGGTAGAGACAATCAGTACGCTGGATGGTGGACGAGCGAGAAGATTGAGAGTAGGAGTGAAGCTCCGGGTATCGTGGGCCGGCGTGCAATGGATTAAATACTTAGCTATGAGCACACAGTCCTTGACCCGCAGAAACGGTGTGATGGGTCAGGATTGGAGGGGTTGGAGGGATGTGGAGGAACGCGATCAGGATGGGGAATGCGACCAAGTTACGGGTGTTCTGGGAGGATGAGTGAGCGAGCTGCGCTGTGCCTGTGCCGCGCCGTGGACGAGAAAAGACGAAGATCGCGCATCGCCTCGACTGCCAACCCAGCGGTGTTCTGTGCGACTGACGGCTGCCCCTCATTGCGGCGCGTCTTAGACTCCTAGACTTCCCAGTTCCAGCCTAGAGCTGGAGGGAAGCTCCACGCTCTTGATTATCCTGTGTCATTACCCGTATCCATACGCCCTCATTCCCTGCCATGGCGGTCGAGACTCTTCCTTGACTGTGCTCCAGTTATTAGGATGGGGGATAGCTATCGCCGGTGCGGGGTGGGGGTAAAAAGAAAAGAGAGGGAGAGACTTGGTTTGGTGGTCTGGTGGTTTGGTTTGGTTGCCAGGGAGCTTCTCAACTTTTCCCACGTTGCTGCTTGTCTCGTGAGAACATGGGGTGGTATGATGGACCAAAGAGTCTCTCTAACTGGTCTAGAAGAGCAGATCTCATAGGGAGACGGGACCGGGGTTCTTGGACTTGAGCAAGGCTTCTTCTGGAAGAGGACCAGAGTTGTTGACTGCTACCAGTTGACTTCTTTCAAATCGACCAGAGTCAACAATGTTGAGCCCTCGGATGGCTTTCTCCCAAGCATCGAAATTCGCAGTGGAACAGTTGTCCCAAGGTATCATAGGCGCGCAACGCAGCGGCATTGTACCCGACTTTAGCGTCCTGTGGCCTATTTATCCAGCACTTTACCCGCGCCAATGGGAACATGTGAATTGGATCCGATAGATGGGTTCTAGTGGGTTTAAGCAAAGACTCCAGAAAGATCTGGGGGCGTGGTGGGGTAGAGTGGGAGACATATTCCCGGTCTTGGGTCATGCTGCTTCACCTCTCGGCCGGTTTGAGACTTACCGCTCCTTTCCCTTACCTCAATTATTTTGAAAATTGTTTTCTTATCACGTTGTCTGTGACCGAGCGTCTGTCAGGTGCTCGTGAAAACTTTTGCTGATGCCTCGTGTTGGTCTTTGAGTCCTCGTCGTCCCCCTTTTCTGTTGAGGGAGTCCCCGAGAGGGCTAGATTGCGACTTTGTCATCTTCCACCCCATCCAGCATTCTCTCATATAATGCGAGGCCCTTCTTTCCTGAACTTCGGGCTCGACCGAATGCTGTGGTACGATTCTTGCAGACTCACTCCGGGCTCGTTCCAGGTCTAGTGATTCGCTCGTCTACCGTCGGCTCAATCGCAAAGTCCCGTCTATACGTATGAAGGTAGGAATCAGGAGTCGCCCGTATCGCAGTGATATGTTTGGTGCCAGGCAGTCTGGGTAGTCTGTCGGGAATCGCGGTGGGATGCGCGAAGATTGCAATGCCGATTCGATGCCCATTTCGCGTAGAATCTCTAACCAGCACAGCGGCGCTCTGCAGCCTGTGCTCGAAAGGGAGTTGCCTCGATATTTATGCTCCTGTCCCACCCGAGCCTTCTGGGCTCTCGGAACACGCTTCCGTCTGGCAGTTGCCCGTCTTGGGACGCTTGCAGGGGAATCTGTCGATCTGGGGAAACAGCTTCCTGTCGAGTCCACAATCTCAAGCTCCGAGATCGCCCGAATCGGCCTCACGCACCACTGTCATGCCATGACACATGGGGTTCATGTGGGCTATTGAAGACACCTGCATGTGCGCCCGGCGGAGCCTATGTGCCACTCTGAATACCGGATTCGGGGCATTTCCAAGAGTGTTCACCAGACATCATACTAGTACTAGTCCTGAGGGCAACTTGCAAAACATAAGTAACAAGGCGGAAGCTCTGTCGGCTGCGCGACAGATGTTTCTCCGATATCATCTCTACCAAGGCCAAATAAATCGCCTCTCGACTAATATTCACACAATCCTTCGAGTTTCTCGCCGTTCTTGGGAGTGACACAACCAAACTTGGATCTTGTAGGCCTCTTCTAGCAGATCCTTCGGAGTCCTTAGTTTGAGATCGGGAAAGTCTTGCGTGCTAGAGTTCTCGACCTTCAAGTTGAATACACCCCGTTCAAACATTAGACCTAAGATGGCAAACATAGGATGTAGCCTCTCGTCCGAAATGCAAGGATAAGGTGACCTATGGTAAAGCAGTTTCGTCACCTTGTCAGCTTTCAACGTTTCAATTTGGTTATGGAAAACGTCAAACTTGACAGTCTTGAGCGCTTCAGCGAGCTCGACGAGCTGGTTCCACGTCAATTTGTCACCAATAAGATACGTCTTTTGCTCCCACTTCAGTAGGGTCAGGGCTGCGGTAACGAACTTGGCCAGGTCCGTTGTGAAGGTCATGGCCACGGGCACGTTTCCAGAACCCGGGATGCCTGCCTTGTTGTTGACTACGTCCACGACCATGGCCATTTCCTTGGCATGGCTTCTTAAGGGCAGGCAGACATAGTAGTCAGCAATGTAGCCAAAGCCGAGAACCCCAAGTTGATCTGCACAAGTGCGTCAATGATGATAAGCTTGGGCTTAATGATTGGCATATCCTCCGCATATCTATGAGGGAAAGAGTTGTTGTCCAAAAGCAATCCGGGAGATGGAGGCTTACTCTCTGCTGGTCTTAGCGCCCCAGATGCTGGGAACGTATGGTTTGGTGGTCACTGTCTAATCGGCAGCGATCAAGTTCAACTCTGGCTGCACAGTCGCCATGTGGTTGAGGGTGGAGATGACTGTAGGCACATTGCACATTGCTGTCTTCCAAGACTGTAGCAATATCGTCGGCACTGCTATAGTCGACCGAGAGAATACGAGCCACAAGTTCTTTCTCCTTGTCTTCATCCGTCTAGAAGTCATTTTAGTGGGCGACTCGAACCTGCAGCACATCGGATCGTGGTCTAGACCTTTCGATTCAAAATGACGACTGAGAAATTTCCGTCTGCTAAACTAGTTTCGACAATGGCATGACCGAGATTGCCGGTGCCTCCAGCTGCTGCTGCGATGATGGATTCCATAGCTTAGATCGAGCATTGCTCGTGCGCTGCTGACTTTGGGAGTTGTGAGGACTGACATGGCCGTGGAAAGATAGCGATCTCGTCGGCCCTTGAGAGCATAGGAAGTGATTGAGTAATGTTGTGATATGCTTCAATTGTTCATTCACGGGCAGTCTTCGTGCTGTCGTTATCCTGCTTCGTCACCAGTTGAGGGTATCATGATTCATCCCTTCTGCTCCGAAAAATCTGCGAGTCCGCGCCAAGGCATCGAAAGCCTCCAAATAGAAAGTTGACTTTGGGATTTGAGGCTTCTCATCCACAGATACGTGCACTTCCTGAATTCACAAGGTGTAATCTCATCAAGAATAGCTTTGGCACTGAATTTGGAAGTCGTCAAGAATAAGTCCTACCACTCTAAGCCATACACGCAGAAGTGACTTCGACGATGTGTAGGGTAGCTAGCAGGTATAGCTCAGACCTTGGATTGATCATGCTGGAGATTCACCAGAGGTTTTGGTAAAGGCCTCCTCGGTTCGTCTTGAGAGGTTCTTCGCAAGACACCACACAATGTTAACAGTTCAGTGTTGGCTTGGCACCAGCATCCAAGGATCGCGTGGTTGTGTAAATAATCCGCACGACCAACAAAGACCACATAGAAGCAGCAAGATGAATACATGGAACTCTTCATGACCACCGATGCCCGTCTCTCCGTCTCCCCCCACTTTCAGGATGTAGTTTTCCAAAGATCTCTCCTACTAGCACTTGACCGCTACCCTCCGCGAGCTCTAGTCACCGATGACCATCCGGCCGTCACTAGAAACTTCTGTTACCTACCTAGCAGAGCCGGTTGTACTCTGAGAAGCTGGCTATGATCTCATACTCAACTATTCACAATGGCTAAATCCCACTTCACACGGAACCACCCAGGCTGTCAATACTCATCTGATACATGAGTAACCTCACGATACAGAATCACCACATACGACCATACCCATTGGAGAATTCGGGATCCCGTCCGCTCTCCCATAGACAAGCTAATGAGGGCCGGATTAGTAGTTGGGTCGGTGACGACCAGCGAATACCTGGTGTTGTATGTTTTTGGTGTTTTGATGATTGTCACGAGGTCAAGTGGGGAGTTTTGTGGTGTTTTGGTGGAGATGTCTCTTAGCGACTTATGTGCTCTTTTTATCACTCAACTTGTCCAATTCATCAGTCGAAATTCAGGGTATGTGATTCATTTTGAATTACGAAAAAAATATAACTCTTGAGTTGTCTTTGAAAGCTCGTCTACATTGCGTCGCTTCAAGACCTGAAGGTGAAGTTTGTAGGGCCTGGGTTGATGACACCAACATTCCAAGTATCGAGAGAACAGTGACACTATGTAAGGCATGGAACGGGTCTCTCTGGTATCAGGCAACATTGACTCTTCCACTGCCTTACCTTTGTCATTTTGAAAATTGAACTATGCGTCTTGCTCTCAGTCATCCTCTAAATCATCATCCTACAGCGAAGCTCTGTTCGTACATGTACGGACTGGAGTCGAGCTCAGCCCGTGATATTAGGTAACCTCTGACCCCCAAAGTAGTCTAGGTTTCTCACTCACAGGCAGCCGTCCACCAAGTCTCGGACATTTTTGCACTGTAATTGTCCGTCAGCTCCGCATAAGCAGCCTGGCGCGCTGGGTATTCGGTTCAGTTAGCGATCACTCGCGATCTAAGGTTACACTCTAACAGAATGTCACAGCGCTACTGCAGTGAAGCCTCTGGGCCGTGTTCGGTGCCTGTTAGTGAGGACCCCAGACATTAAGGTCCAATGGCGCACTCGACAGCTACATCGCCGACCTCGACCTCGAGGAATGCCCTCAAGTTTTGGCTCTTGTGCCGAGATTGCACTGCGAACTCGACGACCTTCACGCACCTTGAAAGTTTAGACAAACGGCGACATGATTTTAAAGAGAAAAATACGCCATAGCCATGTCCGATGACAGCTTCACGTTCCCGACTGATCCGACGAGCGCAGAATCGCAATTCACCCAGCATGACCTGCAGCTCCTAGCACAATCATCGCCAGAATCGGCTCTCCGAGTTGTGGCACTCGTCGATTACGACTCATTCTATGCTCAGTATGAATCAGTCAGGCTGGGTCTGCCCCCTTCCAAGCCCCTCGCAGTGCGCCAATGGAACGCCATCATCGCGTTAAATTACCCAGCCAAGGATCGCGGGCTGAAGAGGACCATCTCGGTAGAGGAAGCCCGTCGACTCTGCCCAGACATCGTCCTTCAGCATGTACCAACTTGGAGGGAGGGCGATGATTGCTGGAGGTACAGAGCCGACGTATTGGACAACTTGACGACGGACAAGGCCTCCCTGGATCCATATCGCGATATGTCACGAAGGACGATGAAGCTTGTGCGAAGGATTCTTCCGGCAACGCCTGCGCCTACCATTGAGAGAGCCGGGGTGGATGAGTTCTACGTTGACCTGTCAGCTCAAGTCTACCAGATTCTGACGGAGCGATTTCCCGCCTTGGAATCGCTCAGCAACAACCCCGAAGAGCCACTGCCGTTACCCCCTGTGGACACGTCGCTCAACTGGAAACCCGACAAGGTGATGAATCTTCCCAATACTCGTGACCCAGAATACGTACTCGATTGGGACGATGTGGCACTGAGCATTGGGGCTAGCATTATTCGCAATATCCGCAAAGAGATCAAGGCGGAACTAGAACTCACCACGTCTGCCGGCATCAGTCACAACAAGATGCTTGCCAAGGTCGCTTCTCGGATGAATAAGCCATTCGGTCAAACAATCATCAGGCGCAAATCCATCTCCACCATTATGCCGACCCTCAAAGTGACCTCACTCTCCGGCCTCGCAAGGCAGCTTGGCCAGAGAGTCGTCAAAACATTTGGATCCGACGGCATACGTGACCTCCTCCAGGTGTCTCTTGCAGAGATGAGGTCAGAACTAGGGGCTCAAGATGGCCAGTGGGTGTACAGAGCCATCAGAGGCGACGAGACAGGCCCAGTGAGGCCCCGGAGTGAAGTCCAGTCTTTGCTGGCTGCCAAGACGTTTGTGCCCAAAGCCGAGAACCTTCAACAGGCCAGCAAATGGCTGCGAATCTTTGCGGCAGATCTCGAGTCGCGACTACGCGATCTCGACCTGGATTCAGAGGTACCCCGACGACCCAGGACTATTGCCGTCCAACACCATATCCGGGGTCGGTTCGGCCCGACGCGTTCCAAGCAAGCGCCGATCCCACCACACATCGAGATCAACCGGGATACCATATTCAACATGTTGCATGGATTGCTCAAGGATCTTACAGACCACGGTGAGTCTTGGCCGTGCTTGGGTATCTCTGTTAGCATGTCGAATCTGGAATCCGGGGTGCCTACGTCTGATCCCGGGCAGCGGATCACGTCCTTTTTCGCATCGAACTCCTCTGCATCCCCTCGGAAACGAAGCCGAGAGGGAGATATGACGAACACGCATGGAGCTAGCAAAAGGGTGCATAAAGCGAACGATGCAACGGAAGCCTTAGCATCAGGGAGATTAGCTACTGCAAGTACCTCGGCTCGGGCCGTTCAAGGTGTCTCAAGAGACGAGCAAGGACAGCAATACTCGTGCCCTAAGTGTGACGAGTCTGTGCAGCCAGAAGATGTTCTTGAGCATTTGGATTGGCATGTTGCAATGGAGATTCAGAACCAGGAGGGCTGACCATCCCGGTACGGGAAACGACCATGATTAGTCGCTGTGGCCTGTCTGTTTCTGTGCCGTTGCTCTCCAAGTACGAGATTGCGGCTTGGTCTGTTCGAGGAATTTCGCGTCTCAACAGTCTCTGGACCTCACGATAGGGTCTTTGACTGTGTTGGCTGCTTTTTCTAGACGTAAGGTAGCTCACGTTGGGTGGGAAGACAGCGGTGGATGAGGTAATAGGATGGCCCATGGACTTTGAAGCCGGTCTATTGGCACGGAATTGCTGCCGAAGACATCCTGTTCCCGTTTCTAGGGGTTAATCATGACTTGATAGCGAATAGAATTTATCGCCATGTCTAGTTCGGTCACCCACGTTGCATTCAACCCGACATGGAGGGTGAAGATCTACTTTTAGGGCTGAGTGCTCCAAACAGCCCAAGCTCAGCTGTGAGAGGGGTCGATCAACGTTCCTAAATAAGGACCGATAACACTTTGACAAAGAAATGTGCTGCTTTCCAAAAAGATGGACATGTCCAGGAGCATTGACGTAAGTAGCGATTACAGAATGATTTTGCGCCCTCAAGCTACTGATACTCCGTCAGTCCTGACACTGACGCGGCAAGAAACACCAAAACACGACGCTCTACCTTTATAAATACGGACTCTGCATGTAGGCGAGTCTTACTTGAAACAACCCAGAATACCTCCACTACTAAATCCCTTTCCTAAATCACAGTTTTTGGGCAGCCGGAGACTTGAATTGAAGCTCGCACAACGGATGATCCACTATTCCCCAGACTCCGAGGGGGAAATTACCGTTTCTGGCAAGTGGGGGAGGGGCTTGCAATCCGCGGGGTTCACAAGTTTGGACGGGATGATGCCATTGCGCCGTTCCTTAGACGACTATCCATATCAAGTAAAACTTCGCCGAGTGTATCCTTTCTCGACAACGACTCGACAACGACGGCCCCATGTTGTACCACAGCAAAAGGAACGAAAGCAAGTCTCGGGCGCTTTCGGTCCAGTTTCGGGGTCCACCGGTGAAGCCCAGTTGGTCGAATTGGCTTCTGGTCATTGACCGGCTATAGATGGAATAAGAGCTCTCGAGTCTGACGCGGGGTGGAATCGTGGGGGAGCTTGGAAATGTGGGATCAATACCATAAAAGGGCCTCCGTAGGAATTGTGCGAGCTTTAAAAGGCAACGTCTCGCCCTCGCACATCCGCCCTGCCAGGCATTTCCTTTCTCGAAGCTGAACTCTTGCCCCTGATCTCTCTATCGTTCGTCAGCTTCCTTGACCATACTAGAGCTCATCACAGCTGCACTTCCATCAACATGCCCAGCATCGCTCGGTTCCGCACGCTATGGGGCATTGCTCCGGGCGACAACTTCGCCGATTGGAAAGCTCTGTTTCCCGATCTCAAGGCCAAGGGCTACAGTAAGTCTGCGTTTGCAGCGTTGTAACTTGTGAGGATGATCTCGCAACTGACACCCCATACCGCGTAGCCGGAGTCGAAATTGACTACAGAGACGTCCCCGCCGAGCAACTACCCGAACTGAGACGCATACTTGATCAGTTTGATTTCCAGCTTGTCGCACAGTAAGCTTCAGGCCCTCGCCTAAGCACCATGAGTCGGCTCTCCTAATGCCCCTGCTTTAGAATCATGTCCTCATGGCCCGGGTACGTGGGTCCCAGGCCACCCGGCCTGACGCCAAAAGACCACCTGGATCACTATCGCAAGCAACTAGAACGTGCCCAAGTTCTCAAGCCCGTGAAAGTCAACGCCCAGTCTGGAAGGTATGCTCTTTCACGGTCATCAAGCTGATGTTGAGTGAGTACTAAAACTCGAAGGATAGCGACATCTGGACTCTCGACCAGTCCGTCGAGTTCTACCAAGGCACATTCAAGATCGACGAGGAACTGGGGTTCGCTGGACGGGTGACACACGAGACACACCGAAATCGATCCATGTTCAACCCGTACGCGGCAAAGTACATTTTGGAAAGAGTGCCAAAGTGAGTAATCACCTTCAATGATGTGCACCAAAACCTATTCTGATGGTGGCTACTCTGCTTCAGCCTTCGCATAACCGCCGACATCTCCCACTGGGTCGTCGTGTCAGAGCGTCTGCTGGACGAGTCCGTAGAAGACCAAGCGATTCTGGAAAAGATCATCCCGCATGTAAGTTGAACGGAGTCACCGCGCCTCTAGCGCCTAGACGATGGGTCTCGATACTGACGCCTCCATAGATCTACCACGTCCACGCCCGCATCGGCACAACACAGGCCTCGCAGTGCGCCGACCCTTCAGATCCAATCTACAAGCCCGAAAGGGAGTTCTTTGAGCGATTCTGGACAAAGGTCATTCAACACAGCGCGACTCGCGGCGCCGATTATCAGATTTCTTTTACGCCTGAATACGGGTGAGTTGCAACTAGTTTCTGTTTCTTTTTCTACGACCATGCGAGGCGATTGGAGATTTTCTTGCTAACATTGAATTCCCACGCAAGACCGTACCCGTACCACCCCTACCACAGCCCGAGGGTGTATACCGAAGTCGCCGACACTGAGGGGCTTCGCCTGGAGGGGCTATTCTTAGCCGCCTTATAGACAAATTTCTTGCCTGCGTAACCGGGAAATGACGGTCAAGGTTGTTTTGAGATGAGGCATCCGGGAAGTCATTTGTGGTTTGTTGCGGGTCATAGACTCTGGTTGTGGCCATAGACTCAGTAGGGATAGACGGCTTTCGATTACGATCACGATGCCACAGTACGAATTGAGATCCAAATCATACACATTGCTTTTCAAATGTCCCCTACTTTCTCACTATATGCCGGGGTCTGCTGCCCACCGGTGCGTCTTGGTCTAGTTGAGCATACCCAGGTATCTCGTCTCAATCTTGGTATCCTTGGATGCGCCCTTGACTCCAATCTTGACCACCTCACCAGGGACAATGTCGACTAAGTTATCGCTGAAAACCACAGCATCATCCTCAACCTCCAACGCGACACCCTTGACGGGGACCTCGGCACTGATCTCCACCACATCGCCGTTTTCTGCAAGCGACGCCTTCAAACTCTTGGGCTTCTGCAAGTGCAGATACTTGAGCGGCTCAGGCCAGTTGACATACCGCGCAATCTGCTTGCCGTCCTGGATCAGGTACGCCGCAACGACGGTCTTGGCCTCCTCGCCCTTTTGCCTCACCGGGACCTCAAAGGCGGCCATCTCCGTTGACCTGTTTTCAGGCAGAACAAAGCCCTTGTCAACAGTTTCAGAGTACGTCTCCTCGCCGGTCTCGACGTCCCATGCCTTGACGAGCAGGTCAACGGTCAGGTCTTCCAATTGCAAATTCGAGCCCCAAATTTCAATCTGCGTCTTGGTTTCGATATCGACGCGCGTGTACTTGTCCTTGGGGTGTTTGTGCTCCGTGCGAGTGATGCCAATGGAGATTGGCGCCATCTCGCGCTTGACGGTGAAGTAGGCGTGCTTGGGACGGAGGTAGTAGTCGCAGATGGCCCATGAAGTCACGGGCCAGCAGTCATTGATTTGCCACACCAATGCTCCGCCGCAGTATTCCCTGCCGGGACCCTTCCACTGCCTCTTCCACAGTCTGTAGGCTGAGGCCAGGCATTCAGCCTGCATCAGCTGCGTGCAGTACACAAAGTGTTCCAAGGGATCAGGCGCATAGCGGAAGTTCTCTACCAGGTATAAGGCAATGCGGCGCTCGTGACCGTCGGCTTTGTTGTGGAAGTCAACAGTTGAGGATTGAGGGTAGCGGTCTGGGTCGTCTTTGCCCTTGGGAAGGTATGCATCAATGGTCTTGACCGAGGGGAACGCTTCCATGCCAAATTCTGACACGAAGCGGCCGACGAGCTTGTCAAAGTTTTGGTACTTCTCTTGTGTGCCGTGCCAGACGTTCCACTGGTGAAGATCGCCAACCGTGGGGTCTCTGGTGTCCTCCCCACTCCAAGGGCTGCCAAAATGGTAGTAAGTGTCGGGGATGAGGTCCTTGCACGTATCGACGAGGATCTTTTCGTAAATGTATCGCGCAGGGAAATCGGTCTTGAGCCAGCTCTCTGCGTCCTTGTTCGCGAGGTCATACGTCAGATTCTCGCTCTCTGCGTATTGGTAGTCTTCGTTGTTGCCTGCCCAGATGACAATAGAGGGGTGATGACGCAGCATCTTGACATTTTCTCTTGCTTCTCTGTCGATGGACTTCAGAAGGTCCGGCCAGGTAGGGTAATTACCGCATCCAAACATGAAGTCTTGCCACACAAGGATGCCATACTCGTCGCAGGCATCGTAGAACTCCTGCTCCTCGTAGATACCACCACCCCAGACACGAACCATGAACTGGTTGCCGTCTGCCAGCAGGCGGATCCAGTCGTAGTACCTCTCCTTGCTGATGCGAGGGATGAAGTTGTCGGCAGGAATCCAGTCGCTTCCGCCGCAGAAGATTGGAACATTGTTGACTTGGAAGAAGAATGATGTTCCCGGTTGCTCTTTGATGGGTCTCTGCACCAGCTCGACCTTGCGAATACCTATCTTCTTGGACAGGGTATCGACCTCGTCGCTGCCGCTAAGGAGGGTGGCTGTCACTGTGTACAAGGGCTGCTTGCCGTAGCGAATTGGATACCACAGCGCAGGGTCCTGTATTTGGAAGGTTGCTGCGATATCCGCATCGTCTTTGGCGTCGATCGTCTCAGAGGCCAGCGACTTGCCATCGAGGGACACATCAAAGCGGACCTTTGAAGCCTTGCCTTCAGTCGTTGCGTGAGCGATGACCTTGGCACTCTTGAGGGAGTTGTCGACGGTGGTCTCAAAGTAGAGGTCGGATAGACGGGACTCGTAAATCTCGAGGTTGATTGGCCTCCAAGGACCGCATGTCAGAAGAGTCGGGCCCCAATCCCAGCCCTGGCAGCGTCAGTACGATGACCCTCACGACGAATGGCTTATGGAGAACGCACCCAGTGGTATTGAGCTTTCCGTACTGCAAGTCTCGAGTTGTCACCGTTCCAGCATCCCCACTTGTGATCGGGGTACTTCTCGACCAGCTTCCAACCCCGTAGGTATGCGCTGTCAAATGTTATCTCCAGCTCGTTCTCTCCATCCTTTCGCAGGACAGATGTAACATCGACACGCTCCGGTGTGAACATGTTATCCGTCTCTAGGATTGTCTTGCCATTAAGCACAACGGTAGCAAAGGTGTCGAGACCGTCAAAGGCCAAGATGGCCTTGGCACCCTCGGGGATGGCCTCGGAGGCGAATGTGGTCTTGTACAGCCATTGGACCTCGCCAATCCACTGAACGTCAAGCTCGTTTTTGCCAATAAAGGGGTCGGGGATGACGTTGTGGTGAATGAGGTCGAGGTGGACATTGGTTGGGAACTGACTAACGGCGAGGAGCTCGCTGTCCTCTTTGTCGGCCTGCTTGAACTGCCAGTTCTTGTCGATTGGAATGACGGTTCGTGATGCCATTGTTTGGAGCGGACGGCGGTGGCTGGAGGTGTTAGCTGTGGTCGAGCTACTGATGAGGTCCGGATGAACGCGCATCGCGTGAGGGAGTGATTAGGGATGCAATGAAGATGCGCAGAGATGCCAATGGGAAGAGTAAATGGGCGGGATCTCACCAGAGATAAAAGGGAAGAATCCCGGGATATTTGCAGGCTTGCGCGAGAGAGCGACGATGAAGTCGGGGATGAGCGCACCGAGCGCAGGTGCCCCGCGGAGGATGGCGGGGTAGATAGGTACCTTAAGGTAAGGTAAGGTAGGTACTGGTCAGGGACAGGGACGGGGGGTGTTGGAGGGGCCGAGGGGCAGATCGTGGTGCTGGGTATCTCACTGTGAGAACGTCGAGTGTGAGTAAGACAAGACAGTATGCTCGCTCAATTGGCAGCCTCACGATGATGCGGAGAACCGGCGAGTAAGTGGGATTATGTAGCTGATGGTGGCAGCTTTCAGAGAACCTACAAACAAAATGAGTGTCATAAGCGTGGAAGGCTGGGAGGATGTGTCGTCCTCATATACTCCTCACCATCTCATCCATGCACCACCCTCACTCATACCAGACCAGGGAGCTCTCTCCACTTGATCTCACCTTACCACCTCACCTCATCCCATGCGTTTGGTCTATGTAAGATAATTGAGCTTCCTCTACTTCGCATAGCTCGCCTCACCTCGGGAACGGCACAGAACTTCTCAAGCCGAAAGATCCCTGAAGTTCGATCATCATGTCCAAATCCCGGGATATGAGAGTCTCCTCCAACCTCGTGCTACTTGCCTCAGTCTGAACGACGGGACGACATCCGCCGAGATGCATCTCCATTCCCTCCATGCCCGATCCATGATCCAAGACACATTTTGTCCCATAGGCTTTTCCCTTGGAAGCCAGCTCCCCCACACCTCCCACCTTGTCTGTTCTCACTTACCGGTGTTCCCCTTCTGGTCCAAGTCAGGCACGCGCGGAGAATGAGGGACGCCTCTTTTTCTCCAACGGGCGCCTTGTATCTGTTCTCGAGGAATGGAACATTGTTTAAAGTGTGTTGCCCCCGGTGTGGTTACATCCCTTGCTGGATAAAGTCAACCTGCCGGCGGGCTGCATTCGGAGGAAGCCACGCACATGGCTGCAGGACCAAGGGGTCTGACTGAAGTGAGGTGATCCTTTCTCTGGTGCTTCTGTTCAAGTGTCTAACTATGAGAACGCCTGTGATGGTAACGGCGCTCTTCTGGGCTGGTTCTAACAAGAAGCCCACTGACGGCGCAGTACATATCCTTGGCAAGAGACCGTTCCCATCACGCCGGTATCCTCTTACAACCTAAGTCGCCATGGTAAATCGGTAACTCATCCCATTCGAAGGTCGTTGTCCCAGTTCCCATAAATATCGTCAAGTCTCACCATCGGGGATATAAATCACCACCGAACGGAGTGGAGAACCGCCTCTGTACCCCAAAAATTCAAAAAGAAAAAGGCTCCCCCAATTCCACCTTGGAGACCCCTGCTCACCTCGGTGGGGTTCCTTCACGGAGGGAGGCCCTCCGTCTTCTTTATTAGGAATAGGCGTGGGAATCGCTGCATCATTCTCCGATGCTCCAGGGCCCGAGGATAGCCTCATGACGACCACCTTCCACGTTGCCAGTTTCCCGCTCCCTTACTGTGCGGCAGTATTTTTTCTTTGATTTCGAATCACTGGATTTCTCGGCCGTGTTGCAAATGGATTGCTGTTCTGCAGCTCGCCGTTTCAAGTTTTCAATTGTGCCGTCTTGGGCATCTTCTGGCATCATATCTCCCAAGTGGGCTTCCAGTTAGACGGATGCATTCCCGCCGTTCATCATATTCTTTACTTCATGGCCAATATCAGACTTGAGATATTGCATTTGCCAACGCTTCAGGAAGCCAAAGCTCCGTCACAAGACTGTCAAGATTGCCTT